AAACAAATATCCGCCGTCTTTGTGGCTGATTATCAGAATTAACATAAAAGCAAAAACACGCGCAAACGTCGTAAAAGAGAGAATGCCTGGAACCAAATGTACTTAATTGTTAACTCTCTAGAATTAACGAGACAAGGGACCAAGCCGGTAAAATCTGAAATGAAGTTGAAAAACTAGGTCGTGCATTAACCTAGATGGGACCAACGAAAACTTTTGGATGCGATATTCTTTAAAATGCGAATGCAGAACGTATATTCATGAGGGAGATTATGAGAAACCGTAACTTTGAGTGTGGATGGTATGCTTGACAGGACACTTAAGTGGGGAAGGAGGGCTGAGATTATGTTACAGAACAAGTAGCGAGGTGTTTGATGGAATAAAGAACTTCCACCTAGCCAAGAATGGTAACGAGGCATTAAACAACCTCGTTGAGTAGTAATCACATCTTAATGCCTTCTAGCGCTTCTAGCAAGAGCGTAATTATACATAAGAATATTTACGAGATTTTTATTTTTTTCATTGTTCAATTACGTGAACAGAACTCATCCCGAAAACTGGCGAAAACGGTTCATTGGCTCTTTAAAAACTAAATAAAATAAAAACAAAAATCTGGAATATGTTTTTCTTTTGCATTCGTGAATATATTGTTCCCAGTTGAACATCCTCTCCACACAATGTTTGATTCACAAATTCCGGAATAAGGGTTTTTAAGCGTTTTAAAATGAAAGTACAGCAGAACGCCTCTTAATTAGATGGGCAACGTTTAACTGTCTATACTCGATCCTATACTGCCGTGCTTAGGAAAAGCACCGTATAATGGGCCTGTTGCAAACTTTTGCTAGAGCAAAAATAAGAGTTGTTTCTTGTAGATAATGCCTCAAAAATCACGATGAGCGCATCGGCAAAGTCTGAAATGCACTCATAACTTCACAATCTGCGTAAGAAATTTGCGTTTTTTTAAGCTTCCCGCTTCAAAAACGATACTACGGCGTAGGTGAACATTTTGTTAGAGGAGTCGCTCCATCGTCGGCGATATTCATCATGGCCGACGCTTGCACGCAGTTCCGCGCGTAATTCAAGGAGAGTTTAAGGTCAATCCATTCGGGCGTGGAAAATATGAACGTTAACACACCGATTATTATCTGGTCTAATCCAGTTCAGGTGTTATCTCGTCCCATCAAACGTGTTTTGGCGGATTGGCGTCGGCTATGATGATTATTGCCGACGATGGAACGACTCCTCTTACAAAATGTTCACCTGTGCCGTAGTATCGTTTTTGAAGCGGGAAGCTCAAAAAACCGCAAATTTCTTACGCAGATTGTGAAGTTATGAGTGCATTTCAGAGTTTGCCGATGCGCTCATCGTGATTTTTGAGGCATTATCTACAAGAAACAACTCTTATTTTTGCTCTAGCAAAAGTTTGCAACAGGCCCATTATTCGAGAGTTGGCAAATTTCCTTCACTAAAATGCTTGTTTTTAAGGAAATGTATGAATATTTTCCCCTAAAATTGTCAGGAACTTGGGGGTAAAATCGCGAACAAAATATCTGAAAAATTGGAAGAAAAATACTCATTAGTTTACCGGGAAAATCCTGTTTTATCGAAGGCAATTTGGCAACGCCTGAAGAAGGTTCATACGGCGATTTTCCTTAGCACGCCAGTAGTTTGATCGTGAAAAACACAGCTTTGGAATGGCGTCGCGTTCATTCCTCCAAAAGTGAAGAAATGAGTCCTCAATCAAATCGAAATGCACTTCTTCCGATTCACCACAAAAGGAGGTGAAAAATAAAAACTGAAGGCTTTGGGGTACATGAGTTGAAAAAAAAAATCGGTTTGAGTCTCATAAAACCTTGTATGAAATTCCAAGATTCCCTCGAGATGTTCTTTCGTGTCTGTATTTCGCAGCACGTTCATGCGTTCAATATGGATCTTCCGGCGAGTCGCGCATTCTTTCTCGAGGCACATTTCCACGCACGCATATGCACACGCAATCTCGGTATGAGACACACGTTAATGACGCTGCTTGACCTTCCTCTCCCCCGTGGAAAAAAATGAATTATAAAAAAAATTGCGCATTCAAGAATTTCATTTCGAAAGAGAGAATCTCAGGGCTGGAATCGGTCTAGTAGAACACGTTTATCTAACAGTCTGCAGAGCCATTCTCCATCGCGAGAATTGCAGCGAGGAGTAGAAACATTTCTCAACTATGAAGGATTGAAGGGCTCGAGAGAAAAATATACCTAAGCAGATTTGGAGATGCTTTAAAGATCCTCTTTGAATCTGGCTCCTGATCTCTAAACTGTAAAATCAGTTTACTTCCCTGAAACGAGGAGATAGTTGTACTTAAATGTCTAAATTTATGCCCCTCACTAACTTGAAGTTTGAAAGTGAAGAATTACTTGGATTTAAACAAGTATTTAACACGGATCAAAGGGAAGTTAAACGATACACATGACTTCATTTGTCAGGGTTACCACAGAATTGAAACGAGAAAGTAAAAATTAAATTCCCTGAGATTCCCCTGATTTTTCTGTCACATTTTGGTAAAATTCCCTGACAGTTGAGGATACGTCAGATAGTTGAAAAGGCTTAATGTGAAGTACTTTTTACTCAAAATGTGTTGCTCCAAACTTCAAACCCATGCTAAAAACTAGATAAAGGTGACTTAACAATTTTTTCCGACACTTATGTCATTTTCCCTGACTTTTCCAGGTTTTCCCGGTATTTCCTGACTGCATGTGGAAACCCAGATTTGTATGTTCGCCTTTAATTGTGAGTACATCTTGTTCAGCAGTTGATTTCCAAAACCCCCGTTGTATGATTGTCCGTTTATCTCGTGCAATGTTGAGGCGAAAATACATTGCGTTATGTATCAACTCACGTCCTATCTAGAGACCCATTCGTCCTTCCTCTGCAATTCAAAGCTGACCCTCTTTGGGCGAGGATTTCGGTCAATGTTGATTATTATAAATTTTGCGCCTTACGAATGTAAGATGCCTTCCTTAGGATTTGCTGTCTAAACTTCCCGTTAAGTAGGTAATTTTCCGTGTAAAATTGGAAAAATTAACATGAGAGCGCTTTAGATCGCACCTTGTCTCCAGTATTCCCTTCAGGCACGGAAGCTTTTTCGCAATTTTAAACCCAATTTGTGGTGGGCATGCGAACAAGGACACAATTTATAACCCCCCCCCTTCCCCTGGAATACTGGCGGCGGCGAGGGAGGGGGGGGGGCATCGAGGCCGAGCTTCCGAGGGTCCGTCGGGCCGAAAGCTTTCATTGTCCCGTCCCCGATGCCGCACAGAGGATCGAGTCAATGGAAGAAGTCGGATAAGAAATTTTTAACAAAAATTATATAATTTTACGTGTATCTCATCACAATATAATTTATAGGGGGTGCTTGTAACAGAAAATTTTACGAGGAAACCAATGAAACTAATTTTAAACCATACAAATTTCACATTAATGAAGATATACGCTTTTAAAGTTTTTAAATCTTGTCCGACCTCACCTAATGACTCGATCCACCGTGTGCCGACGCGATGAGTCCCCGGGAGAAGCTGGAACCCCAGACGCCGAAAGGAGCCGCTGCAGAAACTTGTTAGCGCAATAAAATCGTAATTACGTTTAGCTTTGCGTCGGCAGGGGCATGGACTCCGCTTCCTGCGGACTGGAGGCCTATTTACGGGCCCGGGCAACGAGACTCTTATCGGGTCAATTTCTTGCGGGATAATTCGCGCTAATACGGACGCCGCTGCTGCCCGCTGAGAAGAACCACGTACGTCCAATGAGTCTTTGACGAGACATGTGCGGTTCTTGGTTCAGGCCCCGACTCGGGGGAAAATTATACACCCGACAATGGCGTCTCGGGATGCGGGGCTCTAGCCGAGTGGGTAATGAGCAGCACGAGAAAATTCGCGAGTGCCGAGTGCTTCGAGTCAGCTCTGACGGCGAAATTTAAAATTTTCTTATGATTCCGCTCGCGGTGTTGAGAGAAAAATTATGCAGGCTCCTGTTAGCATAATTGAAATCGAGGAAATGTCTGCCTTTTTTTTTCTATTTACCACAGGATGGGTGTGCACTGAGAATATGAGTGTCTATGCAATCGCACCGGAAAAAAAAGTTGCTTGGATCTAGAGTTCAGACTCTTAAAAACATTGACAAGAAAAAATACTCTCGGTTCAATCGGACTGTTTGCTTGAATCACCAGGAAATCCGCCTAAATCAAGAGGCTCGGCTCTTCGATTCAAGGAAAAATCCGATTGAATCAAGAGTATTTTTTCTTGACAATGTTATTAAAAGTCTGGACTCTAGACCCAAGCGACTATCCCAGTGCGTAGCGTGAAAGGTAGATAACGATATTCTTGCTACAGAGACTGCAAAAATTGACTGAAATTTGATAATCTGGCTTTGTCTCTCCGATCGACTTCTGCAGGAAACCAGTAGGACAAAAATGTGTCGTTTCCCAGACGAAAGAACGTGACAACTACATTTCAACGTTGCGAAACTTCCACCACTGGCGGATCTAGCGGTGAAGAGACAGCATTGTTTCCCTCCATTTAAACCGATGGATATGTATCGTTCTAGGAGGAGCCAGGTGCTCCGACAAGAATCGATTGTTTAACATAGGTTTAAATTGAGGAAAACCGCTGTTGCCGCATTGCTGGATTCGCTTTTGACTTCCACTCGTAAACTGTATATCTGCTAGGAAACTTGCTATTTACTTTGCTAAGTAATCATTTTCTTCCTTCTCACAGTTGAAGCATCGAGAAACTGGGTTATCGTCTAAGTACAAGTCTACTGATTTCTTTTAAATTTTTTCATTAAGAAAATCCCTGCGTTATCTCTCCCATCAAATATATCTGGGCCTGATATTCAAAATCATAATTAGGCCGAACCCGAGTAACAGGCCCACTGAGCCGAAACACAAGACTCTGCAAAATTAGTCACGGCGTAGAAATTCCATCAAAGCCCCGCAAAGGCGAAATAGACAGCTGACTCACCGTTAACATGTTTCTTGAGCTTGCGGTTCCTTTTGAGCGTTGAGGCGGCCCGATGGATGACGGGCTTGGCCAGGTACTTCCCGTTCTTGCGACCGGACCTCTTCCGGCGGATGAGGCGCCTCTGGGGCACCGGCGAGACGCCCAACGGCGAGTAGGCGTCCTCGGTGTCGGCGTCGTCGTCGTCGCCGCCCCTCAGGGCCCGCCTCAAGGGCACCACCCCTTCGGGCTCCGTTCCGGACTCGCTACCCTCCGTCCCTTCCTCCACGTCGGCGTCCGCCTTGGACACGTCTGAGTCCCTCTCGATGCACTCGTAGAGCCCCTCGTCCTCGTCCTCCGACCCTGGGGAGCCCATCACGTCCCTCGGCGAGCAGTAGTCGCGCACCTCGTGGACCTCGAAGCGGTTCTGCCACCGCTTCATCGAGTTGGTGGGCTTCCGCTTCTCCGGCGGCACGAAGATCATCGGGTCCAGCTTGAGAGACTTCAACGAACGGGGTGTCCGCCCGACGACTACCTGGTACATATCACTTTTTGCCGTGCCGTTACTCGATTTTTTCCGGGAGCGCGCAGTCCACTTGTCGAGCTTTTTCCGCCGCGAACTGGTGCGATGCGATAATCTGCGGGTCGAGACGGCGCCCCTGGCGTTGGGCTCGGCGGCCTTCTTCGGCGCCTTCTTCCGACGGAAGAAACCCCCGGACGAACTCGTCGGAGACGTCAGGTCGGACAGGCGTGGGATGGAGATGGAGAATGAGAACCCCGAGTCTTTACTGGAGCTTAGGAGTTCGGTCGATCCTCTGGAGGAAGAGGCTGACGCTGTTTTGCCGGTTGAGTAAGTTGGGGTTGTCGACGAGAGGGTGCGACAGACGGGCATCATGAAGGTGTTGGGCGACAGGGGTCGGGAGGGGTACTGGTGGTAGCGACGCCCACTGGCGGGCTTCTCGTCTTTCTTGTCCTTGAGGGCGCTCTCCAAGGAGTGGTGGGCACGGTGGTTGCCGTTGGGGTTGGCCTCGATGGAGTTGGCGACACGCGGGAGTTCGAGGCTGCGCGGCGCGGAGGCCATGGCCATCGCCATCGGGGCGTCCATCCAGATGCGCCCGAGGCTGATGGAGACCCCGCGGCCCTCCTCCGGGGGCTTCGACTGCCGGAACCGCCGCCGCACGATCTCCGGGGAGCGCTCCAGGTCCAGGAGCTCCAGGGAGTCGACGGAGGGAGTGCCGGGTTTCTTCTTGGGCGGCGGCGTGGGCGGCTTCCCGGAGGTGGCCATGTTCTCCTCCGCCTTCACGCACTTGATCCACTGGCCGTAGCCGATGACGAGGGAGTCCGTGGCGCCGAGGATCTCCGCCGCCGAAGACTTTATCTCCGGCGTCCGCCGATCCGCGATCTTCGCGTCCGCCTCCTCCTCGTCCACGTTGACGGCCTTGGCTCGCGACAGGGACAGCGGGTTCCGCCCCTTGCCGCCGCGCTCTAGGTGGTTCTTGCGGATGGAGATCCGCTTGAACGAGTCGGAGCGCTTGAACGTCGGCTCATTGCGCTCCTTCTTCTTGCGACCTCCGCCGACTAGGCGGCGGAGGTTCTCGAATGTGATGGGCTTCATCCCGGTGACGTCACAGCGTCTGGTGAGAGACTCCGCCGTCGGAGTCTAATGACGTCAGAAACATATCAACCCCGCTTGTGTCCTTCGGACTGAGGCAGGGTATCAGCTAACGCGCACAATTGAGAAAAGAATCATGACTCCGCGTGGAGGTCAGTTAGAGATATTCGGAGCACCCTTTCTCTGACACGATGCGGAAATCAAAACTCTTCGCGGAAATAATACTGAGCACAACCGAAAAATTTTCACTCCTTGCGCACAGGGCTTGATCACACGTATGATGAAACTTAGTACAGTGATGGGTTAGTGCGTGACTGATAGACCAAATTCGAAGACATGTATCTAGATGCTGTATTATCCAAAAAGAGGCCAAAAAACTAAGTATATTACACACTATGATCCGGTAACGGAAAAAAAAGAATTTTTTTTACACCCTTTTTTCTATATTGACGAGGACTATTCTAGAAAAAAATCCATGGCTCTGAATCGATTTCAAGTCCAACGAAGCGTTATCGACGAAAAACAAAAAAACTGCTGAAAGAATCCACCGGAATGATAACGGGCGCGCACAAACCACACTCCCGCATAACGATCCTGGATCACGCGTGAAACACACAGACTACATCCAAAGGCGCGGAATCCTGCGACACGGTCGAAAATCACACAAACACACACGGCGAAACGAGATCGAGCGTAACGATTCGAGGCGAGGATCCTTCGGCGAGAATCTGCGTGACGCACGGTGGCGCGGAACTGCACTGACACTCGTGGGACGCACGACGCACGCGTGGCTCTCGGTGAGGAACGGGTTGCCCGTTCGCCGCTCAGCGACTGACTGACGGCCGCGGCGGAGCGGCGCTGGGCCGAAGACCATCAAGGACGTCGTCCCCCGCTCCGGCCGGGAGGGTCCGTGCCCCCGTGCCCCGTGGGCCGCCGCCGCGCCGCGCCGCACCGCAACACTCGAGTTCCATCTCGTTGGCACGGCGCATCGCTGCTCCGGCTCCGGCCCGGAGGCTGTCCCGGCCGCGCGCCGTTGCCCGATCGCCCCGGCCCCCCGACCCGGACCATTCCTCGGGTCGCCAACCTCTCGAGCCGCAAAGCTCGCGCAAGCTCCGCTCTTCGCTCCGACGCCGGAGCCTTCCGCGGTGAACCTTGGAAAGCGCGTATTCAGCTCCAAAAGCCGGACTCAAAGTCGCTCTTCCATCCGTAACAAGGGAAAAAACGATGCTTGTACGGGGTGTCTACTAAAACAGGCTGGTCAAAAATAAGTAATTTTACAGTACATTCTCAAGAAATTAAGTACCTCCCCCGACAGAAAAATCCCGTACTATTTCAGTACCTCCATTTGACGAAATTCGAAAAATTTCAAAAATTTGAAATTGCGACTAAAATGACAAAAAATTAAAAAAAATTCCGGACCTTTTTGCGGAATTTCCGCACTTTTCCAGTACTTCCGGACCGTCCTTACAAACTCAGTGCTATTTCCTGACTTGTAGACACCCTGTTGTAGGTAAATCGTAATTTGGGGTCATCCCTAAATTACGTAACGCTCTGCGGGAGGGAGGGGGGATCGAATAGAGCGTTACCGCATTTTGTTGTTACGTGTTATCGGATATACCTACGACACGAAAGGTCATTAAGTCATATCTCCTCTGACAACTGTTCATTTAAGAAACCAAGGATATTCTAATGCTCAGTTTACTCAGTAGTTTCTTCTTGAAAATGAAGTTCACAAAATTTCTGATACCAGCAAATTCTCTACTGTGCTCGAAATTGGTGAGAACTGTCGTTTTCAAGATGTCATTTTATGTGCCTCCTTGAAACACCCTTCATCACAACATACATAAACCATTTTGAGCGATCCTAAAGAAAGAAGATGTTCAATGAGCGAATAATTAATTAAGTCCCGTGGTCCTGGTCGTTCCATTAGCAGCTCCTCTCTTAAGGAAAGCCCTATACGGTTTACACTGCGAATAAGGGAGGTTTAAGTGAAATTGGAAAATGATTTTAGCATAGCTGTTAATGACTTGCCACTACGAAAGGCTTAACAGAAATGAGAATTTGCACGTTTTGCACATTTTACGAGTTACCATTTGAATGGTGCGAACTTCTCGCGGGCCTAGTACAGTGACGGCAAAACGCAATTATTTCTGATGCATTTGCAGCTTAACCGTTACTCATCGTGTTTACAGTCGTACCTGCCAGTTTCGAAGAGGAAAATCAGACTTTGTTATTTATGGGACTTCAACATTAGTTTTCCTGCCTTCTGAGGGATGTTCTTTAAGAATCGTATGCAACAAATTACTATGTCCGTTCCTCTGAAAGAACTGGAGAGAAGCAAAAATCAAGCAAGGGGTGAATTTTTTTCTCGTCCAGGGTTCAAATGAAAAAAAAAATAAAATAAAATAAAAAACCTAGATGATGCAATAATTCCTTTGAAACAATTAGAGGGTTTGTATCTTGGTAAAGTGGCCAGCATGATAAAACTGACACATGGCTGGTGTATAAAACCGAGAGATGTTGTTGGCTCACTCCAAATATACATTGATCACCTTAAATCAACGTATTGGCAAATTTAGCCTTGGAAGCCTTAATATTAGGGAGTAAAGAAATCGATTGTGGCGTTGGAAACAGACTCGAGAATTTTGGTTTTGCTTGATCGCTGGATGAGACCTTCATGAATACTTGCTTCTCCGTGGTAACGCCAAAACTGGTCGACCAACAAAGTGCAATTCGACTATGAGATTGAAATTAAAACGGTTGTTGTCGACAGTCTTTCGGCAGTCGAAATCGTAGTCGCCAATGAAATTAAAGTTCGCCTTCAATGCCGCCGATAGGCAACATATCTACTGGAAAGCGCGAATAGTTGTATACATCCGAAAAACAAATGCACTTTCATTTCTCTATGCATGAGCTTTGACGGAACCTGTTGTTCGATATCGTCCTATCGTCCGTTCGAAGTTAGCTCTCGATGTTTCTACACGAGCAACGCCTTGGAGCGCGATGCTTATTTATTATAAAAACACGAATGTATCTTGCTCCGTAAAATTCGAAAGAACCAAAAGACACTGCGTAAACCCTAGACCTATTAGGCAGGTGTCGCCCATCTGTGGTTCGCCTTCAGTTTCGCTGCATAGAAAACACATCTACCGAAGTGCGCGAATAGTTATTTGTCCCAAAGACATAAGTTATTGTAGACTCTGGATTATCCGGATTAATTGGTGCCGGGCCCGATCCGGATAAAAAAAAATCCGGATAATAATAGTAAACACAAACACCACCAACCAACACCACAGTGTTCTTATTATGTATACATCATGTACATACCAACACAAATTTAAAAGGTTAGCGCCAAATTGAACGACTCAATGGTGATTGTGAATGGTAGCCGACAACGATAAATTACAATACAACGATTAAAGCGCACAATGCGTGAAGTATTCATACAGTCTTGTAGCCGCTAATGTGTGTTTTAGGCTAACTAACCGACTGCACTGCGTTTGGCGTAATGCGAGAAGTATTTATGCAATCTAGTAGGCGCTAATGCGTTCCACGCCGACCTCACTGTTTGGCGCGATGCGTGAAGTATTCCTTCAGCCTTGCAGGCGCCATTATGCCTTCCGACCGCTTCTCCGGGGATCCGCTCACTTATCGGAATGCGTACGGAGTTACATGTTTGCAAAATCGATCCGGATAATCCAGAGTCCGGATAAAACGAAGCCGGATAATCCAGAGTCTACTGTATATCGCTCCATGAGCTTTGTTTGACCTTAGTCGAAGGTATCAGCCGTTTGAAGTTCTCCTTTAATTTCGCTGAAAAGGCAAGACAAGGTGGTGTCTGCTAAAATTTCATTGTGGATTTTCCTAATACTTAAAATGAACATCCGATTTCTTGCACGAATAAAGTGACATTCGTTTGATTATGAAAACCAACATATTTGATGAATCGAACCAAATGTTTCACTTGTATATGCGATAAACTAAGTGTAGCTGAAACATGTTTGAAGCACTCGGAATTTTCCAATCCATGACCGATTTTCCTGATATTTTCCTGATGACATCGAATTTCGTGTTCTTTTCTTATTGACAGTAGACGCCACTGCTGTACGTATCTGTGCACTGAAAAAAAAACTCGGTGTATTTACTAAGAAAAGGGTAAAATTACCAAGAAGTCAGGGTTCTATTTGATCCCAGTTTTTTCTTGGTAAAATTACCACTTATAGAATTGGTAAATTTACCGAGAAATCTCGGTAAAATTATTGAACTTTCTCGGTAATTTTACTGGACCCTGGTAACAACGCCAATATTTTTTTTTTGACTGTGGTAGAATTACCGAGATAAAATGGCAAAGTTACCGGGAATTGATTACCAATAAAAGTGGTATTCTTGCCTGAAAAAAACAGTAAAAAAACCGGTTTTTAGGTAAGCTTACCAGTCTGTCCTGGTAAAATTAACAATAATTGGTAAAAAAAAGTGAGATGGTAAAGGTGCCAACGGACCGTGGTAACAATGCCGAGAATTTTTTTTCAGTGTGGTAAAAACTTTCGAATCTGTACTGAATTGAACGGCAAAATCCGTGGCTAAACGCGTAATTCGACAGGCGGTGCCACTTTAGGAAGGGATCCCTGGGGAAGTTGATGAACCCGATGTGTGTATCCTGATCGGAGACAACGGGAAGGCCGATCGGGAATCGGGATGGAGCCTGAGTGAAGCGGAGCGGAGACTTGGAGAGGCCAAGACCAGCGGCCATTGCCGCAGATCAAAGTACTCGCTGTACACATTCCTTCCAACCTAAACTTACCTCGCCATTGCGCCGCGGCTGCCACGTCGCGCGTCGCCTCTCCATCCACTCTGGTGGCTAAGGAAGGACGCCGTGAGAGCCTTTGGACGTTGCCAAGTTTCCTTCGATAAGAACCGGAATTACTGGAAAATTTGTGAATATTCCATATTTGTGTCTTTCCAAAATTTTTAGAAATTTTGTACGCAATTTGATCTAATACATCTGAAAATTCCAGGAAAAAATGAGCATAACTTTCCTAAAAAATGCATGTTTTTTACAGAGAAATTTGGCAACTCTCGAATGCTCATACGGCGTTTTTCCTTAGCACGGTAGCACTCTTCTACGCTCGAGCCACTCTTGATGGCATCGTTAATTCTCAAAACAACTTAAGCACCAAAAAAAAAATCGAAAATTGAGTTTTGAGTGGTGCAGTAAAACTTGCATCATGCATGTGTCGCAGGCAATTAGTTAAATTAGGCGTTTTGTCAAATGCCTAGACAAATAGTCAAATAATCTTACGTAGATTGAAATTCTGATTCTTTTGCTTAGGCAAAGTAATGCTCTCAAGTTAATAAGGAGTTTCTGTGAAAATTGGCATCATAAAATTGTAAATGAATTAAATCTAGTCCCTAAACGAGCTTTCATCTCGGGATTATTGGCGTGTC